TGCATTGACGGTTGTCTGCAGGGGGTCTGTCCTGAAGACTTGACTTCATTTGGTTATTAAGTACAATTACCTTAGAAGTTCACTCTTAGAGGAAGATCTAACTTAATATCTCAGATTTGCCTTCCAGGCTTTCAAAATTATGGAGACGTGGCAGTCCCAGATGCCTGAGCTCAAATCAAGGTCTTATCCACTCTTGGAAGAAGGCTGATTCCTGAATTCATAATTATATCTGTACCCATGTGTCCTGTGTGTGTCTGCGCGTGTCCTCCAGTTAAAGCTTCCAGTGTATCGGAGGGGATGGGAGGGAGGAGACGACTCTGAGACCCAGCGGCTGTGTGCATCTCTCATTACTTGTGCACTGAAGGGGCACCATACTGATTGCCATCATATAAAAGTCCAGATAGGAATTATTTGGTTGTAGTGTGAACGTGCCAAAGAGATTATTTAATCTTTTAGAAATCTTCCAAGCCAAGATTTTTCCAGCACACCTTGCGAGTGCATGTGGTGCTATTTTAACCTAATCATTAGCCCCAGTTTGCTCTTTAATCCAGATGCTAAGCCTCCCTGCCCTGCTCTGAATTCATATTCATATTCATTCCCCTAGATGCCATATTTGTCATCCATTAAAATCCCCTTAATTGCAATTAATCCTTAAAGGGAGAGAAGATATTTTCTTATTTGATCCTACTTTGCAGGGTTGCATACCTTCTACTTATGTCGGGCTGTACGATCACAGTTTGGCTATTAGTGCGGTAGGAGCTTCTCTACATCCGTCTCGTCGTGGCAGTGCCAGCAGATGCGCTCGTTTAGCTAACTACAGAAACAGAGATGTTAGGCAATAAACAGTTGTGCAAGTACCAATCTTGGGGAGCTGCAGTTGAATGAGAGGCCTGCAGAATAGGTCATTTCTGTCTAAATGTAGTTACGGAAAAATAACAGCCAGAGGCCTGTCTTTTAATCTTTTTTTGTTTTTGTTTTTAATCAAATAGCCTTTGCTGTAGCTCTCCTTTGATTTATCAAAGAGCTAAGGTGTATCCCTGTAATGAAGGCATTCAGACACAACAGCTAGCAGAAGAGGTGACCGGCTGCTTTCACGGTGGTGGAAAGGGTGTATTAGGCCAGATTATCAATTGACATAAATCAATGGTCAATGAGTGTGTCTCTGTTCTGCAGGTGGCACCGACTTCAGGTTTGTTCCAGATGCAGTTTAGACTATTGATTTTTACCCCAAGCTTTTTATGGGTTGGAGACCAAGTGTCTTATCACCTTCCTCTACCCCCATGACATATGGAGAGCTGGCACGTGGCCATCCCTGAGCGCACCTAGATTTGTATGCGTGGGAGCTGAAGTCAGCGAAGGGGGTTTCCCCCCAGGATTATTTCCCTGGCTCTTGGTCTCACAGCTCCTGCTTTTATGACCTTCGGTGCATATGTTGTAAGGCACCCATATTCACGGAGTGGGTTTTGTCCCCTTTTGGGGTGGGGAGAGGTTGCTTGGATTTTGTTCGTTTTTAAATGACCTTGTGCTAACTGCTGTTCAGCATTGTGCATGTTCAGCGCTGAGCTTACATGCATCTAAACGTCAGCAATAGGTACATCGCACCAATGAGAAAAGCGTGATTGAGGTTTAATATTTTATGAAACCAAAAAACCATATGCAGTAGCATTGGGCCAGGGGCAAGCAACACGAGAAAAATCAAACATTTTACTGGGAAGAGAACAGGACATCTCTGAGCTGGCGCTGAACGCGGATGCGCTGAATCAGCACCTTGCCTGGCAGCTGACGCTGCATGCCGTGAAAAATTTATTCTTTACATCAGTTGTACTGGAGATAGGGAGGACGGATTCACCTTACAGCAGAGGACGCGCACAAATCTCATTGCTGTATTTAAGCCCCAGTTTAAGAGCTTGATGTGTGGCTTTTTTTTTTTTTTTTAACTCTGAGAGATGACTCCAAACATTGCAATGTTGTAGTCCATAGGCCTCCAATTCCTGAGTCCTCTCTGCTTACATGCATTACTTAACATTTACTCTCTTTATTTCCTACTTATTTCAGAGCCAACACACCCTAGCAAGGAGAGCTGGTTTCCGTTCGGTCACTGCCACCTTGAATGAAACTGCTCATTTTTGGAGCTGGAAAACCATGTCAGTTGGTGACCTGCGAAACGGGAAGAACCAGGTATGAATCTTGGTATAAGATGAACTGGTGGCTAAACAGTTTCATTTAGACGATTCACTCTGTGCAGGCGATCTGGGCTCCTTAAGAGGATACTTTGCTGTGCTTTATACCCCAATTCAGCAAAAAACACTTCCACCTGCTTGGAGTCCCTTGCACAAATGGGACTTTACTCCTTGGAGAAGAATTGCAGATTAGGCCCCCTCTACATGTTACAGGTATTGCACAATTAACTGGTTAACTGCACAATCAACCAGCTACATGTGCAAAGTACCTATCACACCATAAAGAGATCCAACCAGCTATTAGGTTAGACCTCAGAAATGTATACTAACTTTATAGCTTTCATTGGCATGTATAGCAGGGTCTCCTTTGCCAGCTGACCAGGCTCCCAGGCACAGGTTGCACCATGTCCACCCAGGGGTGGGCACCCCACAGCTGAAGGGACCCTTAGCCCTGGCAGCTGTGGACCCTGGGTCCCAACAGCACCCCAGGGTGCCTGGACTTAGCTGCGATCTCTTAGCCCTGGGGTTGCATGGAGCACCCCTGCAGCTGCTGTAATCTCCCAGCACCATGCACCCCCACGGCTGGGAGACTGATTGGGATCAGACTCCCCCTGCACCAGCAGTAAAGTAGGATTAGGATCTAACGTGCAATCCCACATCACACCTCCTGCCTGCATGTGCGGCATGGCGGGAGGTGCGAACATGCATTCGATCCCATCATGCCTTTACCTGCACGTGTAGAAGGGCCCTGAAGCGAGGCTGGCCCCAATCTCTACCACTTTTAATTTCATCCATATCAAATGAGAACATGGCTGAACTGCAAGGCTTGAACCCTTCCACATTAAAGCTTATAGCAAGTGACTTCTGGAAGTTTTGTGGTTTCATGTTCTTGGCCAGCCACGGAGGTGTCTGAGGGTAAATGCAGGCTGTCTCCCTCGCAGACCCTCCCTTTCTCCTACCACTTGCTACTCTAGTGCAACTTTGCCCTCCCACGCTTCATTTCATCTGCGAATCTCCACCTGCTTTGCAGGTAACTAATTCATTCTCACAAACCTTTGAGGTAGCTGGGATTACTCCCATTTTGCAGCTGGGCAAACAGAGGCATAGAAATGTGATGCGCTGTGCCCACGGTCACGCAGTGAGTGAGCAGCAGCTGAAAATAGGATCCTAGGAGTCCTGGATCCCAGGACTATCCTCTAATGGATCTTCCTGCAGCTTATAAGAGCCCGTCCTACTGCAGACATGGGGGCGTGATTTTATAAATTCACGGCAGTGATTTCAGGGACGAGGGTTGAATACAACTTAAACACCTTCTCATGAGATGCGGGAGTCTCGTCTCTAGAGCAAGGCGCTATTCTGGGAGGAAACAGCCCAAGGAGTAATCACCTTGCTGAAGTCTTAAAAAACTGAAGCTGCTGGTTTTTCCCTGACTTTTACACAGGATTCGATTGTTTATGGGGCATAAAAGCTTCAAGGAGCAATAAAACGTGAGCCTTTCAAAATACTGTAGTTTACTGCATGTTATAAAACAGCCGCGAAGCAAAGTGTCTGGTTTTAGCTTCTCAGTTCTTCCCCCCCATTGTGGGAAGCAGCAGAACAAATAGTTTAGGCGGATGGTTAGCACGGCAGTGTCTTATTAAATAAATAGGTAGGTGTCTGTGTTGGGATGAAGGCCTACAGGGTGACCCTGTGGGACCATTTTCACCCTTCTGCGCCATCTGAAACTTGCTGTAAGTCAATGGGAGTAGGACATCGTACATCAGGCCCCCAATAATTTCAGCTTGGGGCTTAATGTGGATCCCTTACAGTGAAGACAGAGCAAAAAATCAGTGCAGGTCCATTTAATCACAATCCTTTATTTACAGTCACTTCTCAGAACCTCTTAAATAATATAAAAATACAATTAAAATCTTGGATATTTTCCTTAAATGTATAAATATCAGTCTGCTTTTCCATTCTGGTTTTCAATGTTTTATAATTAGACTGTTAAATAGAGACAGCGTATAAGAAAAATAACGTCCCAGCCTGCTGTTTCTAGGCGGCCTTACACATTTTTCATATGCATGACCAGATGGATACGCTATCGTTTCACATCCAAGAATATATAGCCCTAAAGGGAAAAAAGGGCAAGAAACGGCAGTGCCCAGGATGGTGTCCCATTATAAAATGACCCACATTTAAAATTTCTAAAGGGGTTACAGCATGTTGTGTTACATGGGCTCAAAAGAGTGGATCATCTGCATCTCTCTTCAAAAATATGCTCAGGATTCAATAGGAGAAACTCATCCTCACAGTGTTATTGGGGGTGTGATTGGATCCGGTCTTCAAGAAAAGAGCCCACCGCCGGTCACGGTGCAACCCCCTTTCCGTAGTTCGAGATTTCACTTATCGCAGTGTACGAGGATTTTAAAGAGATGCTTTTTTCCATTTTGCTGAGAAAAGCACTTGAATGGCATGTTCATAAAAAGGTCAATTTTAAACTGATTTTTTTTGGGGGGGGGGGGGATGTTGATTAAAAACTTGAAGGAGGTAGAGGCAGGGGGGAACTTCAAAGTCGTTTCCCAAATGGGAAAAGCCCCTTCCTGAGCAGTTCTAGTCTGTTGCTATTCAAAGGAGGCTCATCAAATCTCATTCTTCAAATGAAGTCTCTTGTAGGACTCGGGAAGGAATATTTTTAGGGGTGTACAGCTTGGTATACCGGCTGGAGGCTTTTCTTTTCCTCTGTAGTGTCAGGTACTGGCAAGAGCAGGACACTGGACTAGATTAGGCAAATACTCTGACCTAACGGGTTAAGTCCTACTTTCCTTCAAGCCAAACAGCAGGTTCAAAAGAAAGCAAACTCCCACCAACTCTTCACTAAAAATGAACATTAAGGAGACTCAAGAAACTAGAAGTGAGAAAATATACCCGTATGAACAAAACAGTGCAGAGGACGAACCCTGCGTTGCTTTTTAAATAGATGGTCTTGTCCCTTTGTCCTGGAGGACAGAAGGGACGTCTACATCCCTGGAAAGTGTTTCATGTCCCCGATCGGTAACGCGGCGTGTACACCTATTGCGAGCCGCGCTCCTCTTTGGCGCTCAGACTACAGGTTCCTACAGTATGGCTCATTGATTATGCTTGCAGCGTTGTGCTAAAATGACAGGATTGCAGTTAAGACCTTGTTGTGTTTCAAAAGAAAAGCCTTAAGCAATTTAAAAAGAAGAAAAAGGGAATCTCCATAGCTTGTTGATTGACTGTCCGGATGACTTGCGAAACCCAATGCAATTGATTTCATTTGATACCAGATGAGCAACAAAAATGCCATTATAAATCCCTACATAAGCATCAGGAAATAACTCCGCGGTTACATTCTGGAAAGAGGTGTAGATCAGGGCTTGGTTATTACAGGAAAGAAACCTTAAAACAAAAAAATAAAACCCTGCAACCTTGAAATGGGTGACGAGCCTTCACTGGAAAAGAGTCGCCAAGAGGTAGGTAATTGTTGGGATCACCAGCAAAGCCTTTGCAGGAGGCAGGATGGCACCGGCGTTGGATTTGTACACGGTCCTGTTGCCCAGGGGTTGGACGGGGCGGAAATTGTCCGTCAAGCGCAATAGAGGATTAGCGCTGAAGTGGATGGTGTTCGGGAAGGCCTCCACCTGTGAACAGCCATCCAAACAGAGATGGTTACTTTTCATCATGGGGAAGGGGATGTGTGATATCCGGAGTCAGCAGTCCCTCCCCCTGGGATGTAGCTCTTAGCTATAAGTAAATGCAAGCTTGTATGGAGCTTAGCCCCCCGGTCTCATCCCATGGGTCACAAACAGGCGCTTGCTCGATGCCGTATGGACCTGGAAGTTCACCTCAGCTCTGCCCCCGAGTCGCGGGGCGGCATTGCACAAGTCGGCTGATCCGTCTGTGCCTCGGTTTCCCCATCTTTACAATATGCGAGAGCGCCTTCGAGAGCCTCAGAAGAAGAGTATGGAAGTGGGACCTGGGGCTGTGCGAGGGGGGTGAGGTTGAGGCGTGCAAGTTTAGGCGAATGACAGAAATAGAGGAGGTACGTTTAAGCCTGGTGATGTTCCTTGAGGGTCTCGAGAGGAGCGGAGATCCTGCATTGACCCATCTGTGCATAGGAGGGGAACAGAAAGGGTATAACTGAGGACAATCTGGTATTTCTGAGTTACCTGCTCTTGGCTAAGTTCAATCGGTTCCTCAAATACCGTCCAGACAACAGCCTCATTACAGCCTGGAGTGGTCAGGGAGCCGGCATATCGGTAATAGCGCGTGAGGTTCTTCTCATGGGGGATGAGAGATTTCAGGAGCAAAGGCTCCATCTCCCCCTTTTTCCCTAGGAAAGCAAGCAAGGAAGAGTGATCTGGAGCAGGCGTGGGTATAAGCTGATTGCTCACCGCTCCTCCCACCTACCAAGCCTGCCCCAGCCAACACAGTTGCAAGCTGCACCCACTCAGGCATGTATTACGAGAGATCCTTTGCTAGTGGTATTGCTGTCCCTGCCTGTCCTGAGAGCTAGCAGAGCATAGCTTTGTGGCATGCAAAGCTTTGCACACTCTGCTTCTCCCTGCACCAGCAGAGATGCACCATTTTCTGTGCTCAGGGTTTTCTGTGTCTGCAGGGTCTGAATTTGCCCCCAGCGATCATGCCTGGAAGGATTTGAGAGAGCTTGCAGTCCTCGTGCAATGCAGGGCTGCGTGCTGTGCCCGTCCCTCGGCACTGGGGTGAATCCCACCTTGCTGTTTCCTTTAAACAGCCGTCTTTGTTGGCCTTCCTGCCTCTGAATTTCATGGGGCTGATCTTGCTCTTGCTTGCCTAGTTGTACGGAGCTATACATAGATGTAGGTGCCCCTAGCTAAGTCCCGGTGTCTTACCTTTGACATCAATCTTGTGCAACTGGTCTATCAGAGGCTTGTAGTTGGTATTCTCTCTGCCGACCTGAAATGAAAACATTTGAACGCCTAAAATGCAGCTCACTTGCCACCCCATGCCTGCTCCTTTGAATTTACTCAGTTCCTGGCCAGATCTAGAGGCACATCCAAAACCTTAGGCTGATCTTTGGGAGATTTTGGTTTCTGTCGGGCAGTGAAGAAACCCAGCTCCTTACCTTGATAAAGAAGCCCAGCACGGCCAGACCATCCTCGTGTTTCACTGCTTCTGCATCAGAGGAGACGTCCTCCCTCCTGTGGACTATGTGAAGCTGTAATGCAATCAGGAAAGACCTGTCATTAGCACCCCTTTTTTTTTTTTTTTTTTTTTTGTTTCATTTTGGTTGCTTTGTCTTGAGCAATTCCTGGCCCCTCTGCTGTTCTGCGTGGCTGGGGACTGAATCTGGTACTAGAAACCCCCAAAGGCAGTTGTCTTCCCTGCCTCCTAGGCTTCCTTGCAAGAGAAGCTCAAGGGCTACAGCCCTGATCCTGCACCAGCAGCTGCTTCTCCCTGCCTGGAATTGGGGGATGATTTTATCCCACCCAATTTAGGGAAGGAGCCGTCTGCGTCTGGCCCAGCTGCTATAAACCTTATAGCCTGAAGTCCTCCTTCCTCCTCTAAAAGCTGAATAATGTTGGGGTTGGCTACCTTGCCTTTGCCCGGCGAGTCTTCCCTCCGTTCAACAAACAGGGATTTCCCAGTGTTTTATTTCCCCTGAGGGAGCCTTGCAGGAGACTCTGCTGCCTTATTTCATGCAATGCTAGCTTTGACCCCAGCCAGAACCGCACCCACCTCCATGGCGTATCTTTCTCCATCGATGCTGTGTTCGGATCCAGGGCTGGATCCCCAGTTTCCATGGCTGCCCCAGTGGAAGTGAAATTGGGTAGCCTTGTATTTCATTGTTAGGCTTCCAGCTCCAATCTTTGCTGACTCTTCAAGTGTCACTTTCACTGGTAGACATGAATAGTTTAATAAGAAAAAAATAAATGAAGTATGTCATTCCTCTTTTATTAACATTTGCAATTAGCCAGCAGAATGGACTGAGAGAATTGGTATCCAGAATTTCTCAGCGATTCGGGGGGATTGGGATGCCTGGTGTCTGGAAAGGCTGTGTTCAGTGCAGGACTTGGATGAGAGGTCTCAAGGCCCCTTCTCAGCTTGGCCAGCTCTTTGCTACATGACCTCGAGCTTGTCCCTCAGGGCCTGAATTGCAAAGTGCCCCACACCTGTGACTGCAAATCAGGCCAGATACCTTCTCCCGCTCTACAGGCAGGGGAATGCCCCTTCCCCCTATCATAAATGTACATGGATGTATTAATGCTACTTCCCCCTATCATAAATGTACATGGATGTATTCTGGAAGGTAAACTAGGTCCCAAGAGGCTTATGTTTAGGTTTCTATATGCCTCCTATTTTGTGTGTGGTGGCATTTATTTGCTCCAAGGGCCATGCAGGGTTTAAAGCTACAGGCTCTGTGACTGCGGTTGAACTGTGGAGTACTTCATTTTGTACTAGCCTAGCCACGGAGCAAAGCCCTTTACCCCATTGTATATGCATGGTTTGCAGCCTGTGACACAGCAGAAGTTTGATCCGGTATTGGTAACAGCATGGTGGCATTTTTCCTTGGAGAAGGATAAAAACCTTTCCTAGTGATCAATCCCCAGCATTTTTCCTGTTTGAAAGGCTTGTGATGTATTTTAAAACTAGAATCGTTGTGTTCTCCGGGGAGTATAAAATGGGTGGTCCCATTACCTGTGACTGGCTTGTGAGTTTGGACTGTAATATCAGTTGCCCCTTTCTATGAAGACGTACAGCACCTTGCACAACGGTGTCCCAATCTCATCTGGTGCTGTTGTAACTTAAATAATCACTGGATCCAGCCTTATTAGCATTGCATTAGGGAGCCTGCCCTTCTCCCAACAAACCCCCTGTTGCACCCTTGTGGGAAAGCGACAATTCAGAGCGAGTTTTGCGTAACGGGGGTATTTTTGTGAGCAGCAGCAGCTGTGCTCCCAACTTGACATATTATCACGTTGTACTGAAAAGCCACCAACTTTGTCTGCAAGAGTAGGATATCAGAGAGGTTTGTCTTTCTTGCAACCTGTCAAACTAATTAATTCCAAAGGAAAACCTCATTTCCTTCCCCATCTGTAAAGCACTTGTTTTTCGTTGCAACTGTCTTAGGTCTATTTTCTGTTGCAACATCATAGGTGAGGGTCCCAGGTACAAGGGGTGTTAGCCTTCTTAAACAACGAATCAGCATTCAAAAAGTGCATACGATCGTTGCGGTGTTATAGCCCCACCTTCGCAGAGCATCACCGGCAATTTTCACTCCAGGTATACAGCTTGGAGGAACGCTAAACCCGAGTTGGTTCATGCATCATGAATTGGTGCAAGCCATTTAACTGTAGCATCGGAGGAAAATATATTCCACCATAACAATGTTTCCTTTAGCAATCCACGAGCTACCCACACTGAACTGGCAAATCTTGTTCAGAGTAGAGTTGACAAAACTAACCTGAATGCCCATCATTCTCTATAACCCATTTTGCCGACTGTTTGGTATCGTATCCTTCAAACGTAAATGGTTGCAGATTCCAGTCTGTCATCACTTTGCGGGTGACAATATTGATGGGTGACTGACTGCCTTTTCCACACTCGTCAAACAGCTCTTTCCATTGGCGGGGCTCTGTTTAGTGGGGAAAAAGAGAGCTTTCACTGTAGGATTTTGCACCAATAAGGCTGGAATACTCTGTTGTAGATCTCCATTTGCTTCTGTGATGGGGGGAGGATTTTCTGCATGGTTGGCTTATGTTTTAAAAGAAGTAGCAATATGTACAACCAGTGTGCTCTGAAGTACAACCCTAACCCTAAACCTCTGCCCTCGCACGGCTGTCGGTGGGGGCAGCAAGCCAATCCAAGCAGTGGCAGGGGGGCGAGGCATTGCAATGGCTGGGTGCCCCGGGGCTGTCTGGGGGGCAAGGAACTGCATCCAGCCCTGCTTGCCCAGACTCGGGAGGGGTCCTGGACTTCACTGTGGGCAGAATAGCTGTGGGAAGTGGCCACACCTTAATAAACAGGAACAAATTTAAGCAGATTAGAGGTAATCCTGCCCTGGAGTGGTGTGACTTCAAACCAGATGGCTGCTTTAAGTTTGCATTTCTCAACCCCTGAGTCACAACCCAAAACTGGGGGCTGGGGGGAGAGGGAGGAGGGCGATCAGGCAGGAGGTGTCACATGCGTGCGCGTGCACACACACACATGCACGTGGCAGCCAGGCAATGTGGAGAGCAGCTCCTGCAGGTAAATCTATGTTGGGGCATTGAGGACATTAAGGTGCTGCAACGGTTACTTGTCAGTCACGTTTCATAGATTCATAGATGTTAGGGTCAGAAGGGACCTCAATAGATCATCGAGTCCGACCCCCATATGGTATATGGAATATGGTAATATTCCTCCTATGTTGGCAGAGTTAGTCTTAGCCAAAAGGAAATTTGAGAGCCAAAACAAATAGGGGAGTCCTTTAAAATATCTTTATATCTTTTTCTTTAAATCTCTGAATTCCCTTTACATTCCCCTGGACTGGATTTTCTTCTTTCTGATTGTTTGGGATCAGATTTCCCACTGGTGTAGGGCAACGTGTACCCACTTGCACCGGCGATGAACTTAGGGAGGCACAAGATGTGGAGTGGCCATTGCACGTGGCGGTGCTACCAGAGACAGGCCCGTCGTAAAACAGACAGCAGGCCACGCGCTACCGGTATTGCAGAAGTAAACTGCTTTGAGTTACCTGAACAGCTGGAGTCAGTAGCCAGCTGTGATGCGTAGCACCATTTCCCTTTACCTGCAATAAAGAAAATGAACATTTTAGACCAATCAAGTAAAATCGAATGAAGAGAAATTATATACGTGATTCACTTCCATCTGGACAGACATCGGTTCTCAAACCGTGATCTGTGGAAGGAGTTGGCTGGCCACACCGTTGTCGTTCCCTCTTGTTCCTAGCTGCCTAATTGCATTGTGGATGTAAATACTTTCACATGGAGAGGAGCACTGTAGTTAACCAAAATACCAGATGATGAGGGAGGAGAGATGCTCCCTGTTAAAACAAGGCCCATGCTCCAAAACCTGTAGTAATGTAATCACAGGCTGATGGCACACGTGGACACTGTGCTTGTCAAAAGAGCCCAGTAAATTAATATTCCTAAATTGTAATAGAAATCAGGCTGAAAGCTACACAGGACGTGCCTTTTACCTGCAGATACAAAACCAATATATAGTCGTATAGAAATGTCCAGACTGGATCAGACCTGAGGTGTCTCTAGCCAAATCACCTGTCTCTTATCATTAATTTAAGAAAATGAGGTTTGGGAGTCAGGAGTCGCATCTAGTCCAACCCCCTGCTCCGAGCAGGACCAGCCCCAACTACATCATCCCAGCCCAGGCTTTGTCTAGCCGGGTCTTAAAAACCTCCAAGGATGGAGAGTCCACCACGTCTCTAGATAACCCAGGTAACTCCAGATGTGGCCTCCCCGGTGCAGAATAGGGGGGGAATAAGCACTTCTCTGGATCTGCTGGCAACGCTCCTACCGATGCAGTCCAGGATACCATTACCCTTCTTGGTAACGAGGGCACGCTGCTGGATCGTATCTAGCTTATTGTCCACTGTCTCCCCCAGGTCCTTTTCTTAGAGTACCATGTGTTTTTAAAGGAAGCTGTTAAGGACCTTGCAACAGGCAGATATGGGATACTCTGCCCTAGCATATGAGGTCTCATCCTAGTCTTAAACAGTGATGAGGTTGGTTTCACCCCTATGACGTTTATATCTTTTCCAAAATCTCTGAGAACACGAACCATCATAACTGCAGAATCTGTGGGTAGTCTTTTTTTTTTTTTTTAATTTTACTAAATTCCTGGCTTCGGCAACCTCCTGTATCAGTGCATTTCACGGTTTAAATAGATGCTGCGTGAAAAGGCATATCCTTTGACCGGGTTTGTGCTTGCTGCCATTACATTTCAGTGAAAGTCTGCTTGTCCTGGGTACAGGAAGCCTCATATAAGGAGGCTGGAATAAGGAATAAGCCACTGGAATAAGGAGTTTTCTTAAGAATTGACGCTTCTCCTCATTCTTGGTCAGCTGAATTTGATGCCGTTCATTAACTGAAGTTTCTCCTTGCAGCGTCATCATCTTCCTTTTTCAGTGTTAGGTTGGAGATTGTGCAAAACCAAGAGGAAAAGAGTTGATTGAACTTCTACATGTTATTCGATGCATTTGAAGTTGAAGGCTAATGTGTTTTCAGCAGCATTTCCAGGGGTAGTTTTCTATCTTTTTTCAGTGTCACCACCACAAATAGCAAGAGAGTAACGTGACACGAGAGCACAACTCAGCTCTTTTCTCCCACTTAGTGGCTACAAAGACGAGACTGGCAAATGAATCGATAAGTGACCCGAGACCTCTAGTCAGGGTAATTTAATGTATGGTCATACTTGAATATTGTTTCCATTTCTAAAGGGTTAATAAATGACGGACATTTAAATAAATGGTTAATCAATTATTATAGAGTCCAACAGTTCATTAGGTTGCTTGTTACCACAGCTCGTAACCATTTACAAGACCCTCTGCTGATCATCTTTAATACCGCCTCCTCCTGCCTCTGCTTCACACTTGTAACACCTTGTAATCACCCACAAAGCCTTTATAAACTATTTATAAATGAAGCCGTAATCTAAAGTATCACTAAAGATAACAATAAAAGGGAAGAGATTAGTGTAAGAATACTTAACACGTTTTCTCTCCCTTAAATGATGATAAATTGTTATTTCATCTTCTGCTTCTCACTAAACTAATCCAAGACTGGAAACGGTCAGTAAAACTGACTCTTGCCTTTTAGTTGTACAAAAATTATAGTACTACATAACACAAAAAGTATGTGTGTTCATCTTATAAGAACTGGGATGGCCTCTATTTCAGTTAAGATTTTTATTAAAGCATTTATATTTTGCATTCATATTTTGTTGCTACAAATATGGCTCTTGACAATCTCATTTTTTGGCAGGAAAACTTTCTGCATAAAAAATTTCAACCAGCTGTACTAAAGGTAAAAATGTACTAACCCTTGCAAAGTTTGGCGGCGGGTCCTGACAGTCCCAAAATTGGTTGGGCTCTTGGTTCAGCTCTGTCTATATTGAAACCGTTGCCAGACCTTTGCACTTGATAACCGGCACATCATGTAGACAATGAAACTGTGGAACAGGAAACTGAAGTACAGTATGTAATGATCAGCTAATGGAAGCAGCAAATGCTTTGTAAGTAAGCGCCTCAAAAATGCTGGATGATCTGACCAGCACGGATGGCTCTTGACAATAATGTTTTTTAATATTTATTAGGGTGGAAGCGATGAATAGAGAATAGGTGCCAAAGTATTTTTGGCATCTCCAGCCAGCAGAGCGGTCTTTAACAATTACTGCACCAGTATTACATGAGGCAGTGAACTGAGACACAATGAAGAGAGCTTCCTTTCAGGTTTATATGGCCAGGAGCTGCTGACAGCTGCGGCACGTTTGGAGCAACCTTGGTTCAAATGTTAATAGGCGATTGTTTTCCCCTGGGACTGTGCAAAACAGGCTATCAGAAACCATTGTGCGTGTCAGAAGCAGGAAGGTCATTTGTCAGGCCAAAAGTGGGATCCTCTAGCACGTGTCTCATCTGCATTTGGTAACCTTGTTGGAGCAGGGACCAAAAAGTGCAGTGCCAACATGATGGTGTCTCAATCCAGGACTCGAGCGCTTGGGCACGACCCCGGTGGAAATAACCTTTGTCATGCAGTCAAAAGGTACATTCAGCAAGTGCATTGCTTACTGGCTGGAAAAGGCAGAGGTTGCAATGTGGACCTTTGGGACCCTTGGGGTAAAGCCGGGGGCACTGGGTGAGAAAGGAGATATGGAGAAAAGTTTTGAGGGAGAGCAAATAAGCACCACCAAGACTGTTAATGATCATTATCCACCATGGGTAACTCTCTATGGAAGGGGAGTGAACATCTCTGGAAAAACGGGTAGTGGAGTATCGAGCCTCTCGTCTCATTCGGTTGCCTGTTTGAATGCAGCCCGTGTTCAGCAAAGTCACCAAATTTTACCATCTTGCTGCTTTTCGGTGGCATCCATCCCAGAAATCCCAGAAACCTTTGCTGACCTTGTGCATCCAACTTGCTGCAAACCAGCTGCATGGGATGAAGGAAATATCAGACCTCGAGTAGGCCTGGCTGCCCTATCCAGGAAATATAAGGATTTTTGTGTGCCGTTCCTAGGATGCATTGACGCCAAACATCAGCATCTGACCTTTTCAGCTTTTCTGGGAACCTTTTAAATGCCCACATTACTAACAAGGGTATCAACAGCCTTTCCCCAAGTGCCTCTCCCAGTGCTTCCACTTATCGCTCCGAATGTTGGACGGCGCTGATGAATGATTGCAGGATAAATATTTAGTAATCCTTAAGAAACTATTTCTCAGAACCGTTGCCCAGTCAATTAGTTAAATTTTCCAGCATACCTTTGTAAGCAGGGAGTCAGTATTTCCTGTGAATTTTTCTCAAGAAAAATGTTTGAGAACAAAGGTGTTTAATGTACTTACAGCTATTCATTTAAACAAAAGCATTTGCATCCTGCAGTGTTTGCTAAAGGTGTGATTCCTTCTTACATATGCAAAGCGAATTTAGAAAGCTTCCTTGGCCCCCGGGGCTCAAGACCGAGGTGGGTTGCATCTGGTCTGCTGTTGCCCATGGGGTAAGGGCAGAGTTATGCCCTCGAATGTATTGACTGAGTCTAGTTGCAATCGTCCAAAGCAGCCGGGCTCCCCCGCTTCCCTTGGGACAGACAGTTCCCCAGTCTATTAGCCGCCTGTCATGAAGCATTTCCTGTTTTATAGCTTATATTGTCCATTTGCTTATCACTCTTAGTAAAACTGTAGACCCACCCTCCCTAAACAATTCCTCTCCCTCCCTGGTGTTTACAGCCTTCAAGTACCCTTCCCCTGCCTCTTATGCATGTCCCTGGCAAGGCCATCCCACCCCTTTTATCTCTTGGGACACCCAGCTTGTCTTCCCCATCCATCTCCTTTCCTGGTTCCTCTTCTCTGCTGCTGGCTCTCTTCTCTTAAATCCTTCTCTGCCCCTCCTTCACCCATGTCCTGAGAGATTACCGCGTGAATCCTACGTGCGGTCAGTCTCTCAGCCTTTTCCTCCATCCTCCGTCTTCTGGTCTCTCTTTCGGTTTCCTCTCCCGCCCCCCCCATCTCTACCATTTCCCGTCCTCCTCCCGTTGCTATCAGTAAGACGGGTCCAGGAGCAACTTAGTCACCGTATGCAGTTTCCCAGGGTTTGCACTTTCTGCTGGAGGCAAACCGAGTGCCCAGAGCGGGAGGCAGCACAGTGCAATGAGGACACAACCCACGGCCCCGATGACACTGGCAGGGAAAATGCCACCCCCCCTGCTCCCCAGGACTGCAAAACTGGGTGGCTAACTGGCAGAAATGGGGCACTGCTGGGCTACTTTTAAGAGTCACGCAGCCAGGACAAGGGTAGCGGTGGGACACATGGATGCTGCTCTATCACCCGTGCTAAGGACAGCTGGAGAACTGCTGATTTGCCAGCTTTCACAAATGCTAGCGTAGTTTAATTTCTGTTTAATTAATGACTAAAAGACTCTAATTCCTGCTTGTTTTTCTTAATGCCGTTCTGGAGGGGGAGTATAACTTGGCCTGGAAAATATAGTTCAAGGCCTGAAAGCTTTCAAGCCTCTGTCCTGTCACCTTCTGGCTTGCAGGCCTTGACATATTTTTTAAATGTACAG